AAAGATTTTCTTTTGAGGGAGTAGGAGGGTGGGGAGGGAGGGGCAAAGGTAGAAGGAGAATCCCAATCTGACCCACATGGGCACAGTCGATCCCACAACCTTGAGATCATGACCTGAGCCAAAATCAAGAGTCAGGCACCTGACTGAGCTACCAAGGCACACCATTCTCTCTCTTACCTTTAAACTCTTACTGGCCATGATCTATACACATTCAGAACTCTTCTATATAAAGAGATTACACAGCCTCAAATTCAACAATGGCCCCCTTCCTTCCAAATCCAGTAGGCACATTTTTCAGTCCCTAATTCTGAACGAATTTCCTCCAGCTGACTTTTCCCTTGACCTCTAGATCCTTGGTTTTCCTAACACATTTTCATAGTTTTTCTCACAGCTCTGACTCTTCCAGTGCCCTCTCCTTCCGGACATCCATTCCTCTGACCTTTCTATGTTGGTGTTTTCCAACATTTACTCCATTGTTCTGTGTTCTTCGCACAATACAGTCACCCTGAGCAAACTCCTCTGTGCTTCACCTTTCACCCAGTACCTGCATCCTCATGTTTCTGGCCCAGATCTTTCTCATAAGCTCCCAAATCCATCTAAGTCAACTGACTACTGGACGACTTCACCATGGTGTCCCACATGCTATTCTTTTTTCTTTTTCTATTTATTTTTTTTAAAGTAATCTCTACTAAACCCAATATGAGCTCAAACTCACAACCCCAAGATCAAAAGTCCCACACTCAACCAACAGCCAGCCAGGCGCCATGCCCCCCATGCTTCTTAAACTTAGCAAGTTTCAACTGAACTGATCTTGTTCCCCTGCTATCCTGACAAATCTTTTTTGTCCCCCAAGCAAAAAATGTATCCATCCTTCTTGGTGCCACTCTTTTACCCCACAGCCGATCAGCTACCAAGTGTCAGTTCTGCTTCCTAAATAGCAAATTTCTCACCTCTCTCAGACCCACCGCCACCACTTTGTTTCACGCCAGACTAATGATTTCTCTTTCATTAAAATCGACTTCCTCTGGGGGGCTTGGGAGGTATAAAGAGAGTAAATGAAACAAGATGGAATCGGGAGGGAGACAAACCATAAGAGACTCTTAATCTCACAAAACAAATTGAGGGTTGCTGGGGGGAAGGGGGGAGGGAGAGGGTGATTGGGTTATGGATATTGGGGAGGGTATGTGCTATGGTGAGTGCTGTGAAGTGTGTAAACCTGGCGATTCACAGACCTGTACCCCTGGGGTAATAATACATTATATGTTAATTTTTAAAAATTTTTTTAAATTTAAAAAAAAAAAGGAAAAAAAATAAATAAATAAAATCGTCTTCCTCTAACTCCACTCCCTAACAGGGCAACCAGAGTGATCTTCCTGAAATGCGGACCTAATCATGCTGCTCTCCTGCTAGAATCACCCCACAGTCGGTCCTCCATTGTTCTGAACATCCAAATTCCCGTCCACAGCCTCTGAGCTCTTTAATCCTCTGGATTTGCCTGTCTCCAGACAAATCTCTGACCCTCCCTGCCTCACACCTTATAGTTCAGCACTGCTAAAAGGCTTTTCTTCGTTCTCTTAGTTCTCTGCACTCTCCATTGTTTCTTACCCTGCTCTTTCCCCAAGCTGCCCTCTCACTCATGAATGGCTTTCCTGACCTTTGCCTGCCTAACTCCTACTCACCCTACAGTAGACCGGTCTCCTGCTCTACCGACCCCCACCAAAAGAGATGTTAAGTTGTCCCTACCCAGGGCACCCACATTGCCCTGCGCCTGGCACATTTTACATTATTTTTACATCTTTATCTCCCCAGCCAGACTGACCCTTAGCTAGCGCAGGGTCTCTGTTTTTGTTCTCTAAGTGCTTACAAGTGCTCAAAAGTGTTGAGTGAAGACTCAGTTCCTAAGTGCAGACATTATAATCAATCTGTCATTGGGACACTACAACGTGCCGGATGCTGTCAAGCAATCCACATTCCCTCTTTTCTTACAATTTCCTGAGATCACGATCGTCAATTCCATTTACTAAATGGGGATTTAGAGAGAGGTGAAGGGACTTGTCCAGGCCACACAGGCAGAAAAGGGTGGAGCCTTGTTTGTTCTGGTCAGAGTCCTAAGTGCACAGTCAGGCCTGTTTAATCAGTCAGCAGAGACTGCCAACTGCCCGTTCCATCTGTTCTTTCCCTTGAACCACAGTTTTTTCTGGGATGACAGTGTGCCCCATTAAAAGATCACATTTTAGCTAGGTGTGCAACGTGACTCAGTCCTATGGGATTTCCATTAGTCTCCATCAAATGAAATGTGGACCAAGTGACTAGAGCTCCAGCAGCCATGCTGGGCCAGGTGGTGTCCTTCAGACTGGAAACCAGGATTGAAAATGACAGCCCAGAAAGAGGAGCCTGGGTTCCTAGTAATGGTGCGGGCCATATCAGTCATTGTCTGGCTACCTCCAGACTTAATATAAAAGGAAGATAAACTCTTGTTAAGCCACAGTGGTCACAATATGCTGCCAAACCTGGGCGTGTGGTAGAATCTCGACCCTCACCATCCCCAGGGGCCAACTCAGAGAAGGAGCCAGCATGGGTGATATAAAGTGTTTCTTTATTTGAACGTCATTCCACCTGCACTGAAGCTCAAATCCAGCAGCAGCAGAAGGGGTCAGGACCAAAGTAAATGTTACCAAACTGGACGATGAACAGCGAGGACACACTCAGACGTAACTTACTAACGGGTGTAGACAACACCAAGCTATCCTAATGACACACAGCACAGGCCCCTGAGGTCTGCTGGTCAGAGCTCTGGGAAGGACTTCCCCCTTGTTCCCTTCTCAGGAAACTCCAGGCCCACCCGAAGGCTAGCCCTGAGCCAGGCAGGGACCTGCGTTAAGTTTCTCGTGCTGGGAAAGTCCCAGCTTCTCCAAAGAGAGGGTTCCCCTGTCTCTATCACACTGGACGTTGGAGAAGGCTGATTCCCCTGTGCCCAAGCAAGAATCCCAAGGAGGCCAAGGAATTATCTTCCCTACAGCCTCATCTAAAAGCTCTTGGCTTAACTAGTCCAGGCCTGAAAAGGATGAATCCTAACCATGATCCTCACCCTCTCAGGAAAACAATGTTTTCCTTACTGGGTACTGGTTCCCAAACAGGAAAGTTTTCACAACCTAGAGACCCAGAAGGACGTGACCAACCAGCGCTCTCAACCACCTCTAACTAGGCTGTAGCTGCTTTGGCCTCTCCTGAAAGTCCCCAGACCAGAGCAGAAACAACCTGCTCGTGCCAGACGCCTCCGATCCAGTCACAACCTGGGAGGACGAGTGCCTCCACGCGCCGCTCAGAGGTCAGCTTCTTAAGACCTTTCCAGAACCAAGAGTCCCAGAGGCCATGCTGAGGTGGGAGCAGGTGATCACCACATCCGTCTCCTCCTCAGGGCAAAAGCCAAACTGCCTGCTTTGGCTAGGGCACACCACAAACCTCCCCTAGTCCACAATGGCTTCCTTGCCCCCAGAGAGCCATGTAAGCCACAGGGTGGTGGCATTCCAGCCTCACGTGAAGCCCCTACCTGAACAAGAATGTTTCCTGCTCTGCTCTGGCCTCCGCCAAAGCCTCGGGGACAGGGCTCTGGTGCGCACCCCAGCCTCTTTTCCTTCCCTGTGCTCCCCTTGCACTCCTACAAGCCTGCCCAGCCCTGCTTTTCGAACCCCACACTCCTGGGTGCTTACATGGGCGGCCCCTTCCTTGGCATAGGCAGCAACTGGCTGAGTGCATGGGGACAGGGAGGCACTTGGGACCCCCCTCAAGGGGATTAACTTCACTCTCCCCTCCCACTAACCTCCACTCCAGTGGCACCCTGGCCCCAAAAGGGTGGGCAGTGGCCTGGGTGTCTGAGGGGAGGTTCTCCCGTCCCCCCACAGCACAGGACTCTGGCGCCCCCACCCCCCACAGCAGGGCACACACAGCAGCTGCTCCAATCCCTTGGCATCCTGCCTCCTTTATCCTCCTCTGCCCCGTGCTGCGCCCCTGCACCCCAGTCAGCTGTCCACAGCTCACCCCTCCATTTGCCTCCTTCCCTGTCCCTATTCCTTCTTCTTTTTCCCAGCCACCTTCCCCCCTCCACCCCAGGCTCTCTGCACATCTCTCCTTTCTCCATTTCTCTGCCTCTCTCCACCCCTTCCCTCCCCTCTCTCATTCTCTCCCACCTCAGTCTTCTCCCCCTTCCCAACCACTGCCTCCCTCCCACCCCCAACCCCCCCCCACCACAGCCTCCCAACACTGGGCTTTGGTTTGGATCTTTGAGGAACTCACTTCTGCCCCCCACTGCCTCTCAGGAGGCTCCCCTGACCCTCCCACTCAGCATAGGCCCCTGGTGCACAGCCCCTTCCTGCAGGTAGAACCCTGGGGGAAGAGAGGGCAGCACTGGGCCAAGGCCAGAGCACCAGGGGAAAGGTGTTTGCTCAAGAGGACGGAGTCAGGAGGGTGGAGCATCAGGACTTGGTGAGTTCCGGGTTTCGGGAATCCTACCAGGACCCAGCATCTGATTCCAGTTAGGGTCCAGATGGGGGTCTCATGCAGAGGATTTCTAGGGTCTGTCTTGGAAACCCTCTCAGGTCCAAGTCCTATGGAAATGAACACAAGATTGGCAAATACATGGCACTCGCTGCTTTCCTCCCCTCCTTTGGCTGAGGCCCACAAAGGAAATGATGACAACAACCTTCCCCAGTGAACCCGCAGAGGACTCCCGCTCTGGCTACACAGTGGACCAGTACTCCCCCCAGTACTGGAAGACAGAAGTAGGCGCACTAGATGAAGCCACCCTGCCACCTGCACTGGGGGCTGAAAGGGGCTCCCCACGCCCCGGCCACACGGCTCCACCACCAGGTCTACCAGGCAATGAGGGAAGTTTGGAAACACCTGGAGTCTCCCTCATTTGCTCCTGGCCAAGGGGGAAGGAGATGCCCCCACAGTGGGAGGGGAGGGAGAGAAAGACTCCTCTTCTGCTCCCCGACCCACACACACACACACACACACACACACTCACACACACACACACGCTCACACACACACTCATGCCTCAGCTCCAAGCACTGCCCATTGGGCTGTAGACCCTGGGCATATCGCAAGGCGAGAGGTGGGCAAGGAGGAAAAAGTGGAGGTGGGGATAGGGTTACAAGGCCTGGGGATGGGGACAGGGGGTACCCTGTTCAGAGGTGACCTGCAAGTTCAAGTTATGCAGAAAAAGTATCAAAGAGGCAAGACAGTCTCTGCCCTTGGCAGATGCCCGGGTTTGGGGCATGAGAAGGGGCAGAGGGGTGATGCATCCCCTAATTCCCCATTCTTGGTCCCCCCTCCCAAAACCCCAGCCCTGACAACAGGGCCAAGAAGTCTGTGCTGTACAAAACAGGCCAGGGTCAAGGGTCCAGTAACTGGTGAGACATCCCAGCAGGGAAAAGGCCAGGCCAGCCCAAGGCTGAGCCCCCTCCAGCCCCAGCTGCCATGGTCAGATGTCACCAAGATAGGACTCAGAGCGCCGCCTCCTACTGCTTCCAAAGCCTGTCTGTCCTCAGACTTTGGGCTGTTCAGGACCCCAATCAGCAGCTGACAGGGAGGCCCTGTGTTTTCTCTCTTGGTGCAGCTCAGACTCCTTTGGGAGAGGTGAAAACAGGCTGACGCAGGCAGCAGAGAGGCCCCGAGGAGGCAGGTGGTGCCTGGAGCTCTGTGATGATGTGATGGAACCATCATCAGGGGGGAGAAAACAGGAAAGAGTCCGGTCCACCCTGGGCCAGTGTCCTCGGTAAGTTTCTGTAGGAGACAGGGACCAGAGGAGGCAAGGATGCAGCCAGGTGGGAGCCCTCCAGACTGACAGGGCCTGGGGAACCAGAACCGCAGTGCCACTTCCCCAGGAGACTCTGTGGGGGCCCCGGGCCGGCCTAGAGAGGAAGGGAGAAGCCCAAGGGCCCAGGGCTCTGGCTCCCTTAGGTCAGTTGAGGGAGGAGCAGAATCAGGCCCTCCCGCACGCTGCATCCCAGCCCCAACCTCTTCAAAGCCCGGAGCTACAGGCAGGTAGCAGGTGAGCAGTCAGTCCTGGATGGGGTCTTCCCTCGGAGCTTGAATGAAGGGATGAGAGGGCAGGCAACGGGACAAGCTGAGGACAGGTCAATTCCTGGGCTGTGATCCTGGCCCTCAGGGTCCCTGTGAGTGAGCGACGGGACAGGGGAGGACTCCCCATCCGGAGACATCACCCCCTGGCCGCAACACGGAGCTTACTGTAGAGCCTACAAAATCTATGAGAGAGAAAGAATTGGAGAAAGTCAGAGACTACCCAGCATTGGGGCTCCCCTCGGCCACGCCTCAGGGCAAAGCTGGGCAGGGGAGTGAGCTGCACAGAGTCCAGCCAGGCCTCTGGTTAGCTGGATGGTCCTGAGCAGGCCATTCAACCCTTCTGAGACTTGATTTCCTCATCTGTATAGCAGGCATAATAGCCTACTTCACAGGGTGAATCCGAAGAGTGAAAAAAACATAATTCCAGCCAAGGACTTTTCCAATGTTTAGAGCATAGTAAATTCTGGAAATGAAAGCAATTTATTTGTTTTTACTTTTGTCCCAGAGGTCTGGCTCAGAACTGAAGTGTGAGGCTCACTCATCTTGAGCTCCCAATGAGGGACACACACACACACACACACACACACACTGACGCTGAGGTATGACAAACTGGGGCTCCTTCACATCACTTTAAACACCAAGCTGAGGGCACTTTGGGGAGGAAGGAGAGGACGCTGGGTGGGCCCATCCCCCATGGGCCCAGCCCCCATCCCCCATCCCCACACCTCTTCTTCAGAAAGACCACGTGGCTCTTAGTCATGCACTTCTGGAAGCTGCCACCAGAGGGCAGGCCCTGACCTCACACCAAGACTACGGGAACCCACCAGGCGTCAGGGTCTCCAAGGATAGGAGCCTCAGAGAAAGACAGGTTAGTAGCGCAACAGCCCAGGAGGGCCCTGAGAAAGGAAACAGGGAGCCGGGAAGAGCCTGGCCTTTCAACTTTGGACCTGGGTTCAAATCCTGACCATACTGCTTCATGACCTTGGACAAGTTACTGGACCTCTGCAGACCTCACCTTTCTCATTTGTAAAATGGTGGTCATGATGCTTGCCTGGTGGGGTCTTGAAGAGTGACAGCTTCTACTGAGTATTCACCAAGTGCCCCCTAATAGACATAATCTTTCTTCCTCATCGGACAACCCTGTGAACTGGTACTATTTCCACTGCCCTCATTTGAGGAAGCCAGGAAACTAAGGCTCAAGGAGGTGCAGTCCCCAGCCTGCTTTCAACTCAGAGGCCTTCAGTCCAAGGGTTCCACCACAATACTAAACCACCTCCTGCCAGATGAGATTATAACCCTCACTGCCATTATTCCCATTTTATAGATGAGACTCCAAGAGAGGAATATAATTAATGGAAAGTGCTAAATATAGACCCAGCACATTCTAATAGCTTAAGGCAGGGTGTGACTGTGAAAACCACTACTCCTGTTTCTCAGGGCAGGGCACACACACCCAGAGAGACAGGTGTCTGTCCACGGATGCCATGCCATGCCTCCTGGTGCTCCGGGGACAGGGTGGGTCCCTGGCTCAGACCAGCCTCCCTTTGGAGAGCGATCTGGCACCATCATTACAATTTTAAGTGCGCAATTCCACTACTGGAAAAACACCAAGAAAACACTGTGTATAAGAAGGCACAGACAAAGATGTCCAGCGTAGCATTATCAGTGATAGTAAAATCCTGGAAACCTCCCCTAAAAGTCCCTAAAAGGAAAATAGTTAAATAGTTACAGTTCCTCCATCTGACGTAATGCTAGGCACTCGATAAAAAGGGTTCTCCATAAAAGGATAAAGAAAGATCTTGAAGACATGCTCTAGCGTTGGGGACAAAAAGCAGTCTTGCGAGGAATTCGTCTGGGATGACACCTATCCTGCGTTATATGAGCATATAACACTACTGTATATTTTATAAAGGGACATATAATGTACACAGATGCATAGATAAATATCTGATAACTGGTTAGCCTGGAGTCTCCGGCCTCATGTGTAAATTTTTTCTTCATCAGATTTCAAGTTACTTGATATATACAAAGTATATATATTACTTGATATATACAAAGCCCACCTGTGTGGGCTCACCATGCAAGACCACCACCATATTTTGTACATGCCTACACCCACCCATCGCAAGTAAGCATCATCCTATCTTCTGTATTTATTGTTTCTTTACTTAAAAAAAAAATGCAGTACCACCATAAATATACTTATGATCAAACCATACATTACTGTCTCTTGGTTTTTGACTGAACTCCATGAAAAAAATCCCTCTGTTATCTTCTGGAAATTGATTTCCCCCACTCCCCTGTCTCAATACTATGTTTCCAGGATGTATCCATCCTGTTACTTATAACTACAGTGCATGCATTTTCAGTTATGCTCCATTCCAGGATGTGAGTATATCACCACTTACTATCCATCGTCCTGTCAATGGCCATTTAGGTTGTTTTTAGTGGTCTGCTATTTGAAGCTGCTGCCACATTTCTCATGTGTTTCTACTCGGAGCTGGGTTTGCTGGGGCCCAAGCATGCAAGTGTTCGGATCTGAGGAATAACGTCAAATTGCTTTCAGGGGGGTCGGACTGTCTGCATCTGTTCCAGTTTTTGCTTCATCTGTAGGACACGGTGACCCCTGGAGGCCCCGCCCCCGACCCAGCCAACACACTCGCCTTTGTTCTCCTGCTTGAGCTCCTCCTGCAGCAGATCTGTTTGCCGGTTGCCCAGCACGAAGGCGAGGAAGGAGAGGATGAGGGCGTTGAGGATGCCGATGATGGCCAGGATGTACGCCCAGCGCACCGAACAGTCCCCCAGGGAGTACTTCCCGGTCTTGGCCCCGCACATGTCCCGGATCGTCTCGGCGTCCCAGCCGTCGGGGAAGATCATGCAGCCCAGCACGAGGCACAGAGCTGAGTGGGTGCGAGGCCGGGCGCACCGCCATGGTCAGGGAGGAAGAGAGAAGGGGTTGAGTACTCCCAGAGCCAGAGGACCACCCCAGCCCCCGTCGACTCGCCGCCCGCAGGCCGCGCCCTCCCACTCAGTCACTCAACCCAAGAGCCTGTTAAGCCTTCCGTGGGTTCCAGAAACTATAGGGTCTGGGACGGCCTCCTGCCTCGGGGAGCAGAAACTTTCCAGGACCCCATAATGACCCCCATCAAATTGACACCTCCAGGAAGCCTTCAATGAAATACAAGGAAATAGCAATCCACCGTTACCTTCCTCTGCTCCCTTTAGCATCCCAACCATGCTTACTCCCTTCCATCCTCATGGTTCTTTATTTCTTTTTGTCATTCTTTCAACAAATATTTATTGAGCTCCATTTCCATTTCTTCAGGACGCTGGGCACATGTTGTTATTCACACAGTCGAGCACTGGCTCAAAGAACAGACTGAGGAAAGTTCTCTCCCTTACTCGATGTACACCATGGGAATGCCCCCTATTTATGTTGGAAATCCCAGTACTGCCTCAAGGGGTAGTGCTGAAGACTGAGGGAAGTAAGGCGTGTAAGACATTCAGCCCAGTGCCTGGCATCTCCTCACTGAGGGCCCCCTGGGTGCCAGGCACTAGACTAGGGAGAGACAGGGCGCATTACTTGGACTTCAGCTTCACAGAGCTTGTAGTTAGTGGGGGAAAGGTCCATTAGAGCAAAGAGGCTCAAATCCTGACCCGGCTCTTTTCTAGATGTGTGACCTCCAGCCAGTTCGTTGCCCTTTGAGACTCAGTCTTCTCATCTGTAAAATGGGGATAATGATGGTATTCAAGTGTAAAGGTTACAGGAGGCAGCAAATGTAAACACTTGACATAATAAATTCCAGGTAAATGTTAAATGTTATTATCATCATAACTAGTCATAATGATACCTTTAATAGTCACACAAATAAGGAAATAATTGGGGAGGGCGGATCTTAGTTTCAGATGGTGAGGACGAGGAGAAGGGGCGAGGCCAAGAGCCTTCTATTGAAATAGCCCCCACCTGGTTCCCTCCCCGGTATTCACTTCCTCTATTTTGAGTGACCCACCTCAGCCAATCCTGACCCACGTGGTAGCGGTAGGCTCTTCCCAATGCACAACCTCATAGGTGGGACCCAAGCCTGAGCCAATCAGCACACGGCCCACCCAGCAAATCAGGACCCGCGGAGTTCAGTGAGCCGCAAGGACAGTGACCTTCCCTTCTGCCTTGCAATGAGCAGCCAGTCCCGAGACTTGTGAGTTACCCTCGATGCTGCCCTCTTAGTGCCTGCCAGTCCCACCAGCAAGGAGGTTACTGTGTCTGAGACCAGAAGGTTCCACACCAGGCCCGTGGGGTGCTTAACCTGAGTTTCAGGTGACAGTGATGACAAAGGGGGTGGTGGCCAGTTCTGCCCACTGTCTATAAGGACCACCTAGTTCCCAGGGTGGGGAGGCGGCCCTCGGTTTTGTCAGTCTCTCCCTCACCTACAGTTCAAGAAAGTGCTCCCTAGGCCTCAGACTCCCATCTGACAGTGCGCAAGGTTTGCCCTCCTGTGACAGGACAGTGTCCCCCATACCCCTAGGTTGTACTCCTCATCCTGATGCAGGGCTCTCCCACGACACTGTGATATCTGTCTCTCTCTCTCACACACACACACACACACTTAGGGCTTCCTCGCTTCCCCAGTGCTTGCCTCCGCCAAGATGATTCCCCGCTAGAGCACAGCGAGTCGCTTATGGGCTGGGGAGAGCTCCTGACAAAGTGGACGGCCAATTCAGGAAGCCCTGGGGTGAGAATGGGCTTGGGGAGCTCAAGAATCCGACAAGTCTGAAGATGCACTTTTAGACACCCAAATGAGAGGGAAGCTCGGGGTGGGGGTGGGGGGGGGCGATCAGTGCTGGAGACATAAATTTGGGAGCTGTGGGCAGGTAAACTCCCTGGGGCTGGCGTTAGGGAAACTGATGAGAACGGACTGAGCCCTGCGGCGCTCCGTAGGAGGAGCCTCTGGAGAGGGTCAACCCGTGTATCTCCCCGGTTTGTTGTTGGTTTTTGTTTTGTTTTGTTTTGTTTTGTTTTGTTTTTTTTTGCAGGACCCTCCAGGCCCCAGTCGGAGACGGGAGGAGGGTCAAACGCCCGGGGAGGGGGACGAGGAGAGAAGGAGTGCCTGGGTGTCCGAGGGCTCTTGCCCAGGTCGCGCGCACCCGCCTCCCCAGCGAGAGTCTGGGGGGAGGAAAAGAGCCTGAGAAAGGGCCAAACCCAGCCAGACTCTCCGCCTCCCCTTCCCTCCCCTCCCCGCGTGCCGCGTTTCCTCCCGTTCCCGGAGCATCCCCGTTTCCATGGAGACTGCGCCCGCATCCCCAGCTCGCAACAGCGCCGCCAGGCTCCCGAGGGCGGGCCTCTCCGCTCCGCAGCCCCCGCTCAGCCCTCACGGAGTTTCCTTCCCGTGGCCCTGCGCCCGCGCGTTCTCGCTGGCACTCTCGCGCTCACCGCTCACGTGCCTCTCCCCGGTCGCGTGCCTCCCCGTTCCTTCCTCCGGTCCACCCTTTTTATCTTTCTTGTTCTTCATCTGTCTCTTTACGGCCCTACTCTCTCGCGGGCTTGTCTCGATTGCTCTTGGGGGTCACCCTCGATCCTCCTCCCCTTGTCTAGTTAGATCTCTCCGCATTTAACATTCGTTCAACATCCCTTCTCTTCTCTCTTCCTTTTCTCGCCTCTCTTCCTTCTCTGGATCTAGCCCCTTCGCCCTCTCCTCTCCCCGGCTCTCCCTTCCTACACTGCACATGTAAATCCTGACTGCGTTAAGTGCGGGGCGCCGTGCAGGTGCTGGGGAAACTGGAGGCGTGGTCTCCAGGAGAAGAGACGTGTGGGGAGGAATAAAATCAAGTCGACACACAAACAGAATAGTTATGCATGTCAAGGAGTGCTTGCCAGGAAGCAGACTAGGGGTTGAGACCCAGAAGAAGCGCGTGCTAGGAAAGGGTGGGGGTGGGGCCTCTCCATCTCTAACTCACTCTGCCTCCTCTGTTCTGCAGCCCAGTACTGGGTGGCTATGTGGCTCCAGAGGCCACTGGGGGAATGGGAAACACCCAGGAGTCAAGCAAATGGAAAAAAAAGCCTATCAGATGGTTTCCCTGGACCTGGGGGAAGAGAGGAAGCGATTACTACAGAGATAGCCGAGGACAAGGAAGTGACCTTGCTGAGGTTCAAGCATCAGAAGATGGAATGACTGCAGGCAAAGTGGGTTTCAGCATCCCCACGTCCTGCATAAGGAACCTGAGGCTTAGGTCTTTGGAGTCTGAGTTCAAGTCTCTCTTGGAAGACACAGACCCAGGCGCAGGATGCCATGTGGAGGAGGGCTCCTCAATAGAAGCAATTTTGACACTTGGCCTTAGAATTCTTCACGATGAGGACTGTCCTATGCCTGGTGGGAGGTTCAGTATCGTGCCTCGCCTCCTCCGTCCAGATGCCCATGGCACTACCACCCTCAGTCATCAAGAAGAACATCTCCAGACATTGCAAAACGTTCTCTGGGGGGCAAAAGTGTCTCTGGTTGAGAACCACTGGTCTAGGGGAAGGGGCCCTTGGGTGGGGCATCTCTATCCATCACCTTACAGTCCACTGACTGAAAGGGTTGTGACAAAATTAATAATATGAATATTCATGCTGTGGTAATAACATTCACAAACAGCATGACATGCTTAAGTACATGCCAGGGTGCAGAGCTCCTGACATCATGATCTGGTTTAATGCTATAACGAATCTGTACCACAGGAAAAGTCATCATCCTCATTTTACAGATGAGAAAATGGGCTCCAAGGAACCAGCTTTGATATCCCATGTCACAGAGCTAGTCAGTGGTGGGATCTGTATTTAAACCCAGACAGGTCTTTACTTAACATTTTTCTTTTAATAGACTCACTTTTTAACTTAGAGGCATTTACTTAAAAAGTAAGCTTTATATCACTATCATAGAAAAGGAAACCAGGATCATTTGCCACAAATAGAAGGAAACTATAAATATAATGAAACCAAAACAATGTTCTTAGATTCTAGCTGGATACTTTTGCCTGCCAAATGCTCTGAGCTCTCTCTCTGTTTAAGAGACTTAATAGTGTGAGAGGAGTTAAAGATATACTAGCACCAAACTGAGCCTTTCTCCCTGGAGCCATGAGACACTGGCCACAGTGCACGGCCTCGATGGGAAGCGGAACTCCTATTCTTCCCCGTGCAGCTTTAGGGCAAGTCAGCTTACCTCTCTGGGCCTCAGTTTCTTCATCTGTAAGATGGGGGTCATGATATCCTACTCATTTCATAGTGCTTTTGTGAGACTCAATTAGCAGGTGAGAAGAGGAACCTAAATTATAACTGGTGAAATGGGGATGGGTTATGGCAGCTCTTGAGAAAAAGAATTCTTAGACAAAAGAGATGAGCCTTTTTCCAGGGGGTGATCTGTATATACAATGGGATGTTATTTATTCAGCCTTAAAAAGGAAAGGAATTCTGACACATGCTACCACATGGAGGAAACCTGACACACTATGTTCAGTAAAATGTGCCAGTCACAAAAAAGACAAAGACTGTAGGATCCCACTTACATGAAGTCCCTAGAGCAGTCAAATTCACGGAGACAGAAAGTAGGATGGTGGCTGCCAGGGTCTGGGGAAGGAGTATGGGGGGGGTTAGTGTTTAAAGGGGACAGGGATTCAGTTTTGAAAGATGAAAAGAGTTCTGGAAGATGGGGAGATAGATGTGCTACACAACACTGTGCACTTGAGAAATGGCTAAAATGGCACATTTTATGTTATGTGGACTTTGCCATGAGAGAGGGAGAACAAAAAAGAAAATCAGCAAGGGGAATGCAGAAAATGACATGATATATCTGCCTCGTGGACATGTATGTAAAAGATTGAGGGGAAATGGAAATTAAATTTATAAGAGTGGTGGCTTCTTGGCAGGGAT